CAAACCACGTGATATAATATATAAATAATTATATATATATATATTTATTTATATTTATATACATATTTTCATATATATATATATATATATATATATATATATATATATATATATATATATATGAAAGTTTTCTCGCCCTCAAAACCTCCAATTTCCAGAGCCGAGGCCTTGCTGCTAATGCAGTTTATTTTCATGCCCAGGACTAACGAGCGTGATATGACTTATTTTTTGTTTTTTGTTTAGGAGTTGATTTTCGGTTCCTTTTAAAGTCTTATCATTCTCTTTCGTTCCCAGTAACTCTTCTTAGTGCCATTATCGTCTTGCTTGAGTTGAATTCATTAAAAAATATAAGTAAATAAAAATAACCGGTGAAATTATATGATTATTATTATTATTATTCATATTACAGATAGTCTTTAATTGTGATCATGGAATAAAGTTTTAAACAAGAAATGTAGTTTTGATATATGCTAATACTCCAGTCTTTTAATATTCCTGTCTGTAAAATAGTCCTGTTTTTAATAATACACTTTCGAGTTGCTACAATTCAGTGTTCGAAATCTAAAGTAATTGTTTTTCTTTTCTTTTTCTTTTTAATTCCAGGTGAGTTCCAACTTTTACTCTTTTCTGAAGTGGCGAAGGATTTGGGTTTTTTTTTGTTTCCAGTCGATTATAATTTTGGTAAGTTGTTCTTTGTTAATAAACTTCAAAATTTGGTTAATCGTTTCCTACGGAACTGTTTAAAAGACTCCTTAAAAAACAGCGAAAAAAGAACTTAAAAAAACATTGAAAATGATTTTTTTTTTTTTAAAATCAGTTGTAAAGCAATATTATGTCTCCTGTTCCATGAATCCTGTTCTTTTATTGTCCTTTCTCCTCGGCAACGTTTTCTTAGTTTCCTTTACTCTCATTAACTCTTTGCGTCTTAGTGGCTTTATCGCCTTGCTTGGAGCAAAATACTTAAAAATTACAATAAAAACATGAGGGTGCATATAAGCTTAATTAACTTAATGGTTCATCGTTGTTGAAACTTGACTAATGCATGGAATAATAATACAACACAAAATGTACTTAGAACAAAATGTATTGAAACAAGAAAGTGTACACAATATTTACATATAGTCTTTTGTATATTCTTGGGAAGACCGTTCCTGGAGAATGTGTTGACTTAGTCGCAGTCGGGCAGAATCTCTGGATTGAATCTCTTGATTCCTCCCTTTCTCTTCCCGGTACCAACCATATTTATATGGTCGGTACTCCACTATGCAAATTAGGTGGATCCTACCACAACAATCGTCGACACTCCTTCTCCTTTCAACCCCCTATTGACCCATCAAAAGCCTTGATTCTATGAAGGCTATTCGTCAGAATAACATTCCTGCGGTTAAGATAACTTTGGACTATGGTTCTTAACCATAGTCCAAAGTTATCAGTAATCTTGCTGAAATTGATTAACCGCTATCCAAAAGAGAAATATTTTCCACTTCTATGTATATTGTCAGCTGTATGCCGTTTTCAAGAAATGCCAGTGTGCGTCCACCCCCGCCACAACATCGCACCATCAGCCTTCTTAGTACCATCAGCAAACTTTTGAGTATTATCAAGAAAGTTACTTATCTGCTTAATGGTAACAACCTCCTCAGCGATAAACAGTATATATTTCGCTCTTTTAGGTTCACTGCTGATGTCTTTCCACTTAGAATCAGTGAAGCTCTCCATAATAAATTAAGACAGCGGTCGCTTTAGATATTTCAAAAGTCTTTGACAAGGTGAGACCTAGGGGGTTGTCACGCAAATTCTCCAGCTATGGCATATCTGGAAGTGTCTTCTCAATTATAAACTCCTTTCTTTCAATCAGGTCTATGAATGTCGTTGTTAATTACCAGCTCTCTGACAATTATGATTTCGAAGCAAGCGTTCCTCAATATTCTCTTACCATCTTTCTGCTTCAATTATCCTTCACAGATCATTAGAAAAAAATATATATGCAGACGATACAACGGGTTACAGGTTCAACGGCACAAGCCTAGATGACCAGAGCCTGGGAGCTGATTGCTCCTCTGATCTTGCTCTAACAGCTCAATAGTGGAAATTCTTTCTCATCGTTCATATGTTCAAACCATGCGATTCTCAGTATTCGCCGATAGAACCACATCTCTGTTGCTTTTTAATCAGTGAGGAGATCGTACAGCATTCAATTTAATCGTATACGAAAGAATATATATATATATATATATATATATATATATATATATATATATATATATATATATATTATCAGCATGGCTGATAGTAACTTCCTAGGGAGTAACTCATCGCGCTTTCTCAGTCTAACTTTTTTTTCGTCGACATGAAGTTGAATGTTCATATTAAATCAATTCCTAAGTCTGCTGCTTTTAAATTCGTGTCGTGCTAGACAATCTTCCTTACACCTTTATAGGTCTATCATTCGCCCCTGTATTGGATATTGCTGAAACACCTGGTCTCGTGCTTCGGTTATTCATTTAGAGATTTTAGGGTACTTGAACATGGTGTAGTGGTTAACAAGCTTGTCTTGCTAGATCATTTATGGCTGAATAGTGAGTTCGAACCTCACTGGGTACCTCATACTTCCGGTTTTGTGCCACATGTAATCTACGCTTAGAAAATCTCAATTTAGAAATTTTTGACCGAATTCGATGAACATTCTGCAATGTTATCGGTCTTAATCTGGCATCTCGGTGTCAGTAACTTCCCCACCGCCGTAATGTAGCTTCCCTGCGCCTTTTCTATAAACACTTTCTTGGTATATTTTTTCCTCTGATGAGATTTCTACTTTGGTAAGATCAACTTCGCGAATTTAAGGATTGGTTTGGTTTGTTTTACGGCAGATCAACCTTAATTGGTTATTTAATGTCGACAAAATTTTTATTGCTGGTAATATTTTTTCAAAAAAAGTATTGTTGTTAATAATTTTTTTTTTTTAATTTTTTGCTGGTAATAATTTTTTACAAAAATATTTTGCTGATATTAAAACCTATTTTTACACGTTTTGACCCCAGTTTGGGGATTGACTATTTGCTCATAGCTGGGACCCTAACAAGTGCTACCACCCCAAGTCAGGGTGGACCTGGAAACACCAGCAAGTAAGAGGGGGTTCCACGCTCCTCAAAACCTCCTGATCAGATTGCTGTTGGATGTAGTTTATCGTCTTACCCAGGACGCGGATGTAGTTTATCGCCTTACCCAGGACGCGGATGAAGTTTATCTTCATACCCAGGGCGTGGATGTAGCTTATCGTCATACCCAGGACGCGGATGTAGTTTATCGCCTTACCCAGGACGCGGATGTAATTTATCGTCTTACCCAGGACGAGGATGAAGTTTATCTTCATACCCAGGGCGCGGATGTAGCTTATCGCCATACCCAGGACGCGGATGTAATTTATCGTCTTACCCAAAACGCGGATGTAGTTTATCTTCATACCGACAGCGCGGATGTAGTTTGTCATCATACCCAGGACGCGGATGTAGTTTATCGCCTTACCCAAAACGCGGATGTAGTTTATCGTTTTACCCAGGACGCGAATGTAGTTTATCTTCATACCGAGGGCGCGGATGTAGTTTATCGTCGTACCCAGGACGGGCGAATTTAAGCTACTAGATGGGCAGCTAGGTCTCATCGTTTGACTGTTGCAATTACTAGATATAAGCTCTACGCTAATTGTTTTATTTCCCTCGCACTTCTCGCTTGTGGAACTTTCTTCCGGCTTCTTGCTTTCGTTTGAACTACAATCTTCAAAAATGTAGATGTAACGTCGATTATTATATTCTGTCTCCTTGAAACCCTGTCTTTTAATGTCTTCTCTCCGTCTCTTCAGTCATGTTTTCTCATTTTCTTTCACTCTCAGTTACCGTCTCCCTCCCCTTGCGTCTTAGTGGCTTCATAGCCTTGCTTGAGGTGAAATTATTTGGAAGGATCTGGAATTGGTAGAATCATATCTCTGTTGAGAAGGATCTGCTCGAGTGGGACTTGCGTCTCACCAATGAAATACGAAGGGAATGAAGGTGGCTCGCTACAATTTGCGTCGCATGGTCGGGTTTAGCTGCAAAGGTCAGGACTGGTGGAACTAAAGAATGTAGCTTGCCATGGAAGTAGGGATAGAGTACCAACGGCCTTGTTTTGTTTCGTCTGGGGTGAAAGGAGTTGTCGAGTGGAAACTAAATAGTCACCCACAAGGCTGCCTATACGCTTTTGAAGGGAGAAGGAGAACAGATCCAGCCTTGATAGCAATTTTCCAAGCGTAGCTTAGATGTGGCACAAGGCCGAAAGTATGGGCACCCAGTGAGGATCGAACTCACTACTCAATCGTAATTGTTCTAGCAAGACAAGCTTGCTAACCATTACACCGCTTCGAGTTGCCCAAGCTCCAGCCTTGATATGGCAGCAATATTCTTTTGATCTGGATCTTGTAAAAACAGATGTTACCAAAAGGCATCAGGTGCTAAATGGAATGGTATAAGATACCATACATGTTTCCAGTATCTTTAGTAAGGGATCGTATATAGGGTGGCAGTCGTGAGTGGTGGCGATGGCTGAGGCTCCCAAATAATAATTCTGATATCGATAAGATTAATATTTAATTTGATAATGCTAATTAGAGTGATGATAATTAAGACAATCATTGATATATGATAATTCCAAGAAGCCAATGCAAAAATGATCATTGATTAATTAAGGAAAGCTTTTTTTTTTTTTTAAATTTACAAAGAAAATTCTTTCGAATGAGAAAAAGGTAGTTAATTCCTTGCCGCAAAATCTGATTAAATAAACAATTGATCAGTTAATCTGTCCAAATCTGTCGTTGGGAACTATGTTGGGTTAGATTTAAAGAGAGGGGTGAAAGGGGAGGCGTAAGAGTTCAAAGGGCACGGATGGAAAGGAAACATGGCGTTCTGATTAGAATCGAGTTAAGAAGGATCGAAAAATATCATTCTCGGATATTTTTTTCGACATTGCAGTTATTTGACTATAATGATGATGGAAATAGCTTTAAAAAAAAAAAAAAAAAAAAAAATGAAGGAAAAATCCGCCCAAAAGAAAAAAAAAGGAAAAAGAAAGAAGGAAAAAAAAAAGGAAAAGGAGAAGGAAGAGACAAAAGGAAGAAATAATGGAAGGAAAATGAGAAAAAGAAAGAAAAGGGAAAGAAATGGCGGGAAAAAAAGGGAAAGAATGAAGATAATAGTAAGAAATGGAAGATGAGAAATAGGAAGAAAGGGAGGAAGAAAGAAAAAATCAGAAAAAGGAAAAGGAGAGAAAGAAGAAAAGTAAAGAAAGGGCAAAATTAAAGGAAAAAAAGGAAGGAAAAGAAATAAGAGAAAAAGTGAACGAAGAAACAGGAAAGAAAAGAAAAGGAAATAAAAAAACAGAAAAGAAAAGAAATAAAATAAAAATAGATGGCAAGAAAGAAAGATAGCCAAAGCGAAAAATAGAAACGGAAATAAAAAACGAATGAAGTGAAAAAAAAATGGGGAGGAGAGATAGACATTCGGAGAAAGCCGGAAAAAAAGGTAAAGGAAAGAATTAGAAAAATTGAAAGAAAGACGAGAAAGACATAGACAAAAAAAGAAAGAAGTGAAAAAAATAAAAGAAACTAAGAAAGAAGGAAATAATTGAAAGACAGCCCGTCGGAAGGAAAAAGATGGTAAAGGAATGAATTAAAAAAATGGAAAGGCAAGAAGCAGGATGGAAAGAAAGAATGAAAAAAAAAAAAAAACAACAGAAATAAAAGAAAGAAGGAAAGAATTAAAGAATCAAGAAGTGAGAGAGAGAAAGGGAGTAAACATAAATGTAAAAAAAAAAGGCCATTGAAGACAAAGGAAAGAAATAAGAAACACACAGAAAGGAAAATAGAAAAATAAAAGAGAAAAATAAGTAAAAAAAAAAAAAACATATAAAAGACAAGGGAAATCTGAAAGGAGGGAAAATGAAATTAAAGAAATAAAATAGAATGAAAAAAGAAAGATTTGTGTAAAAAGTATCAAGAAAGAGGAACAAATAAAAAATATAAGTGAATATTTATTTATCGACGCAAAGAATCTTATATTTAGAGTGGCGTCGGCCCACTACGTGCTCAAGTTTAAAGCCAAACAGCACAAAATATGAAGATTTTGCACTTTCGATCAAATGTGACATGATTAAATGACTCAGTCACCTCCAGGGAAATCATTTCTCTCTCTGCTTTTCTAAAAATATTTTCTTCATTGTAATTTTTCATTTTCCTCTATGTTATTAATATTTGATCGTATTTTATTGTATTTTTGGAAGGTTTTCTGCTGATCCTAAAGTCGTCTTGGTTTTTATTGCTTTGTTGTTTTTTTGTTGTTGTGTTTTTGTTTTGTTTTTTCGGTGGGGGTGGGGGATCCTCTCCTCCTTCAATATTTGGTGTCCAATTTCCCGCGTTAAACTTCAGATCACAAATCTGCCGACATTTCGTGTTTTCTCAAATTAGACGTCGATAAACATCTGTTTATTTCGGTTTTTAACGTTGTCAAGAATAAAAGAACTTTTTTTTTCATTTCATTTCATTTTTGTTTTTTGTTTTTTTTAAATTTACTTATTTATTTATTTCTCTAAGTCATGGGTGTGTGGATGGTGTAATGGGTAAAGACTCGGAACAAGGAATCGGAGTTACTTGTTCGAATTCCACCATGTTTTGTTACATTCAGTTATGCGCAAACACGGTCGGGAAAGGTATAGATCTATCTCCATTTCACCAGTTAAATAGTAAAACTTGTATCAGGAAAAAAATCATTGTTATTCTGAAATAAATTGTTAAATACAATATTTACTCACAAAAAAATATTCTTACAATCTAAAATACGTTTCGGTTTTAAATAATCCACAAAGAGTTGATAAACCGTAAAAAACAAACAAAAACAAATCAAACCAATTGTTACGACACCTGCAAAGAATTAATCTACTCAAAACAACAAAAGTTAACTCCCTAAACAGATCGTTTCGTCAGTCTTATGCCATGTTTAATTTTATTTACTAAAGAAGATACGTCCCTGATTACTACAATCTTAACATGATCAAGTCTAGGGTTAACCGCTATTCGCCCTGCATATCACCATAAACTGTGCCTCTTACTCTATAACCGTCTACCTTGATAGGCTCTTGGGCCTTGTACAGGATGAACGTCATCGTTAAAAAAAAGTATTAAGAAATAAGAAAATTTTGTTAGAAATAAAAAGTGTGCTGAGGTCCTATAGAAGCCACATCACTTGAGAACATTCAACAATAAACCTTTTTTTCGCTCACTGGGATCAACTGGATAACGAGGACATATGGCACAGTGGATAAAGGCGTTAGATCCAGTGACAGGACCCAAAGAGTGTGAGTTCAATACCTGGTTGAGGTGGTGGAGAACTTGGGGAGGGTAATTAACAGGAGATAACTGATAACTGACATCCATTAGACATGGCACGTGGAACTAGAACAGTCGACCCCAGTCAACGAAATAAAGGGTACAGTTCGACATTCCAACCAACTGAAGAAGGCCGGAGCGTACAAAGACCGAAACGTTGTAATAAATATGGCGACAAAATGAGAACAATAGTCCGAATAATGTAAATAGTGTATATAATACCTCATCTCAGAAATATAAACGGATACTGAAAGGCCGAAACGGAATAAATATGGTGACAAAGATTAGGAGAATAGTCCAAATAATGTAAATAGTGTACATAATACCTCATCTCAGAAATATAGACAGATACTGAAAGGCCGAAACGTTGTAATAAATATGACGACAAAGATGAGGACAATAATCCGAATAATGTAAATAGTATACATAATACCTCATCTCAGAAATATAGACAGATACTGAAAGGCCGAAAGGTTGTAATAAATATGGCGAAAAAGATGAGGACAATAATCCGAATAATGTAAATAGTGTACATAATACCTCATCTCAGAAATATAGACAGATACTGAAAGGCCGAATCTTTGTAATAAATATGGCGACAAAAATGAGGACAATACTCCGAATAATGTAAATAATGTACATAATACCTCACCTCAGAAATATAGACAGATACTGAAAGGCCGAAACGTTTTATAAATATGGTGACAAAGATGAGGACAATAGTCCGAATAATGTAAATAGTGTACATAATACCTCATCTCAGAAATATAGACATACTGAAAGGCCGAAAGGTTGTAATAAATATGGCGACAAAAATGAGGACAATCGTCTGAATAATGTAAATAATGTACATAATACCTCATCTCAGAAATATAGACAGATATTCAACAATAACAACAACAACTAAAACGGGTCTAGCATGCAACCCAAAGATAAAATAATGAAATAATCAAGATATTGATATTCCACTCTACATCAGACAAAAGGTTAGGAAGGAAACCCCCATCAATACTGGAAATGGCGATTACAGCGATTGAATTTGAGAAACTTGTTTTCCGGAAAAATTTTTGAGAGAAAGATTTTATAAATTTCAACCGAGAACGGGACTCGCTGTTCGGTCAGTTAACATGGAATCAAAATATGTTAACTTCTATGTCTTTTAATAATTATAGCCCTATTTTTGGGTTTTTTTTTTAGCCATATTGTCTTGAAGACTGTAATTTGGCCCATTTGTACCTATTCATTGTCTTCATTATATTAAATACACCTGAAAACAAGCAGTTCGAATCTATATCTCACTTACCAACAGTGAAAATTAATACAAATTAACATTTTGTTAAATCATTTCTCCATCCGCCGCACCAGTAAGGCCGGAATGTCACAAGTTCGCAGAGAGTTAACGAAAGTGAAAGTGAAAATAAAAGACCGAGTATAGGGAGGATGGAGAAAAGTACAAAAGATGAACGGAGTTCAAAAAGACAGAAGATGGCGATTGGCATTGTATTTAATTTTTTGAAGGTTGTATTAATAAGGGAGGCAAGTAAACGGAAGGAAGTGCCACAAAAAAAAAAAAACTGCTTGTTGATCGTAATTATACAAATATATTTTTCCTATTTAAAATATATGTATATATCACAAGATATGTGTTGTCAGTCAGTTATGTCCCATGCGTGATACACGCTTAGACGATCATGTATCTTTCAAGACATGACTGACGAGGCAGATTTTTTTACCGCAGTAGGTTGCCATTTCTTTCTGCCGTAGACCAGTTGCCATCAAAGGCTATAGAACCCAGTCTGTCCTGCCTAGCTAGAGGGAGAAGAAGAGGATTAATAATTGAATGTAATGGATTCAACTAAAATTCGAACTCAATCCAATCCGCTATCCACGACATCGCCGTGCCTCTTATATATATATATATATATATATATATATATATATATATATATATATATATATATATATATATATATATATATATACCTTTGATATTACTACAAGAGTATGCTTACATTATAAGATTTAGAAATCGTACAATACATAAGTTTAACGTTTTTCATTTCACAAATAAAAAAAATTAATTTTTAGATAAACACAAATAATATATATATATTCTGTGATTGGGGAACCTCAAGACGGTGTAATGGTTAGCAAACTTGGCTCGCTAGAACAATTACAACTGAGTAGTGAGTTCGATCCTCACTGGGTGCCCCCTAATTTCGGCCTTGTGCCACATCTAAGCTAGGCTTGGAAAATCACTATATTCTGTGATTGACATTTTAACACGGCTCGTTGCGCAAGAGTTATTAGCACGTAAGTGAATGTAATTGATTCAACTGAAATTCGAACTCGGCTCTCCGATTCCTCAACTCGAGCCGATATGTGTTGTACATTTGTTAACTTGTAGGAGGAATAACTGAAGGGCCTAGAAGAATACCTGTATCTGATAACCGGCGTGACGTTTGTACGAAGATTCGTTAGTTGTAAAATTTCTCTTTATTTAACAAGCCAACGATAGCATTATGCCAGGTTTGTTTTTCGTTTTTTTGTTTTGTTTTGTTTTCGTTTTTTTTTTATAAAAAGAAAACGAGGAGAGCTATCTTTTACGAGTTTTGTTATTTAACTAGAAAAAGCCGTGAAAAATTTTACAGTTTTCCTATTTTAATTTTCTGATTAATCTTAATTCCTGTCTGTTCATCTCCGAGCCTATCATCTTCAATCCGTTGCTCATAAAAATCAGTAAGAAGTATATCAAGTTCCCTGTTATTCGCTCTCTTCGGCCGTAACTTTCCAATGTCAGTAAGAAAAAAAATAATTTATACATTGGACAAACTACTATAACATTTTCACATCGACTAAGATGTCATTTCTCAGAAGACAATGCCATAAAAGCTCATATTAATCAGCATTGCATATATATTCCTACCAATATTCGGAAGATACTTGTGCAGTGGACTTTTTAATATTCTATCAGGAGTTACACACGTGTTCCTAAGAATATAGCGGACTCAATTTGAGTCCAACCTAACTTGTATGCAAGACCAAGTTAATGGACAATATAAATTATAAAATTAACCTCGAACCTAGAATCATACATCCCCTAAACTTCATTCAATAAAATACATTTTCGTCCAGCGACTGTTAATATTTAACAGCCCCCACTCCACGAGGGATGTATGTGGCACAAGGCAGAATTTACCGTGGGTTCTCCGATCCCGTAGGCTCGGCCAAAAATATTCCTTTAGAACCCGCATAAACGGGTTCAGTGTCTGTCTACCTCCCCTGACAAAACTTTGCCCTTCAGCAAAGTCTTGTCCGAGTTCCTCTCTGCCAAAGGCAGAGAGTTCGACAGTTGAATAGTCTATATCATTGTTCCCTTCGTCCAGCGATTGTTGTATTATTTAATAAGTAGTAAATATTATTTAACTATAAAAATCCGTTAAAATTTTACGGTTTTCCTATTTAAATTTTCTAAGGAATCTTAATTCCTGAATAAGCTCATGGCGAGTTCTACAACAATAACTTATCCGTAGAAATTCCCCTATTACATCGTACAATATTTGAGCGTTTAACTTTTGTTCTTATTAACGTCGCTTCTATGATACGTTAATGTCCAAGCAGTGGCACCATATATTAACACCGCCTCTACGGTGTCCCGAAAAAATCTCCGTTTGAAATTATCTGATAGGTAAGATTTCCAGATTACATCCATTTTATTCAAAATGGCCCAGACTTCAGTTATGCGAATTTCCACATCCTTTTCAGTAGAATTTTCCACATCCTTTTCAGTAGAATTTATTTCGCTTCCTAGTTATATAAAACATTCGACATATTTTATTGATTCATCTGAGACAATTTGTATTGAAGGTTCAATGGCTTTATAACTATAATTAATTCTATATGTTTATTTGCTTCTGAAAATATCGGAAAAGTTTAATTTTAGATCAGGCAAAAATAAATAAGTAAAAAAACTATATATCCCCTTGAGACCAGTGTTAACATATATAGGATCTTGTAACTTTAATTTTGCCAGAATTCCTTTTTATGTAGACACGAGAAACAGTTAAAATAAAATGTTAATCTTTTTATTTTAAAATTCATACTTTAAAAAAAAATCAAGCTGAAGAATATTTGATACCATATCTCCCAGACATTATTTTTTTAAAATAAAATACCCTGGATTTTTTTCAACATAACGAAGCAAGATAGCAAGTCACAAAACAATACAAATAAAAACGAAGATTTAGATTAAGGTAGCAAGTATCCAGTCAGGAAAGTATATCTTGAAATTGGAAGAGGAATTCTGAAATAAATGATCAGGAGAGGAGCCTAATTTAGCTTTTAACCAATTCAAAAGCATTAAGGATATTTGGAATTATTTTACGCAACAAAAGTGTCTGTTTCAAATGAATTTTCTTTATTCGAATGTTAGATTCGAATTCACAATGTGTTTAATTCACCATAGATAAACGCTAAAGAGACAATATGGCAGATAGCAATGACACGTGATCTAACTCATTGCAGACGATTTCTAGTTTCTCTTCGTTTTTTCAATCTTTTTTTTCTTTTTGTATTGGTTTCTATTAAGATCGAAGGAGAAAGAGTTAGGTTCTTTTTGTTATACGTTGATCATTTTGTTCTATTTCTTCTTTTTTTTTACTTTTTTAATTCCTATATAAATATATATATATATATATATATATATATATATATATATATATATATATATATATATAACGGAATCTAGTCTTAAAATAGTGGGGGAGGCAAAAATAAAGGAAAGTTAGAAGTAAAAAAAAAAGAAAAAATGAAAAGATAGCAACAAATGAGAATATTAAAAAAGAAGAAAAGAAACACTCAATCCAAAAGAAAGAAAAAATAAAGTTATATAAAAAATACATATAAAATTATATAAAAAAATTACATCTATATCGTTAATATAGGATTTGTGTTTGTAACCTTAACATAGCAAGTAAGGCACATCGTAGTTAGATTTTTGTTGGCGCAGTGCCATTAAAATACACAAGATTAAATATATTGAACATTATTTAAAAACTATATCTAAAACGATGCGATATCTGTTAGTTATTATAACACAGCAAGAATGGCACATCATAGAGTTTTATTAGCTCAATAGCGTCAAAATACATTAACTTACATATATTGAAGACTATAAAAAAAAATTGAAATTTATATTCTTAGGATCCGATTACTGTTTGTTACGGTAGCGCAGCAAGAACGGCACGTCAAAAATTTATGTTAGCGCAATACCTTTAAACAATTTTAATTAAAGAATAAAGCAACTATAATCTAATTTGCAACTAAATAAGAGTCACGATGCAGCTTTTGTAGGTTTATAGGATTGTTACAAAAGCAAAAATATAACGCCAACGAAAGAAAAAGTGAGAAGATTACGAATTATTAATTTTGGAGGTTTTCATGAACTTTGGCTGGAGAACGGAACGCAACATTCAACCAGCTGCAACTGTCATTTTAAAACCAGGAGTGCTGATCTTTAATTTTTGCATCGCACTAAAAAGAACATGAAGAAAATGAATTTTGCATGTTAACCGAAAACTTGAGTCCATCTACCTATGTTCTTGTCTTGTGTGCACTGGAAAATATAAGTGGTTGTCAATTACGAACTACTAAACCATGCAAGGAACATGCTAGCTAGCTACCTAGATAGATAGATAGATAGATAGATAGATAGATAGATAGATAGATAGATAGATAGATAGATACGAACAGGCTCAGATAGATAGATAGATAGATAGATAATGATCAAACTGAGATAGATAGATAGATAGATAGATAGATAGATAATGATCAAACTGAGATAGATAGATAGATAGATAGATAGATAGATAGATAGATAGATAGATAATGATCAAACTGAGATAGATAGATAGATATAGATAGATAGATAGATAATAGATAGATAGATAGATAGATACATAGATAATGATCAAACTGAGATAGATAGATAGATAGATAGATAGATAGATAGATAGATAGATAGATAGATAGATAGATTGCATCTGAAACAAATATATGTATAGACTGTGATAGATGCATAATAAAAAATGGGGAGAGAAAGATAATAAATCCTCTCTCACAGACACACAACATACACATATATACCTTATATATATATATATATATATATATATATATATATATATATATATATATATATAAATGAACATTGAAGTCAACACTTAGAGGCGACAGGCTGATTCATGCTAGATGCAATCGTCAAGCCGCCTGATGATTGCGTCTAGCATGAAACAGGCTGAAAGAGACAGTCATCCACAATTCCATCCCATACAATTCCATCTCGTAAACGATGCTAGTGTCTATCCTGTATTGTACCATGGGGATTCCGATCCACCCACAAATGTTGGCTGTGTAAATTTGTTATTCCAGCTCTTCCAAATATTGCGTCATCCGTAAACAAGATTGAAGATACAAACAACAGATTCGCAGTTTGTGCAGTAAACACTCGGCAACTGTTCTCCCGTGGTCAGAAGGCGAAAGACCCTGCACACGTTGCAAATGATACGGATACAGGAGCTGCTCTTGAGCTACCCTCCAAACGGTACTATGAGATGTACGACATGCTTGACGTGTGCTGATACCTGGATCGTCCCTGACAGCCTAGAGAATGTGTTCTTCGTGATCAGGCGTACAAAAGGAGCTCGGTCTTCTACGATCCATAATTTGTGGAGCCACGGATCCTGTCTCAGCAACGCGACGATAAACAGCAGCAAACGGTGGATGATTCGGCTACCTTCAGTCTGGAAACATAATCTGATACAGCCATGCAACCTCGCGTCCATTTCCATTCGATTGATCGTATATGATTTACTGATATATAAACCCACCCCAAAGTTTGTAAAAGTATTTTTGATATACCCTATATATTTTTTTTTTCTATATGGTATATATATATATATATATATATATATATATATATATATATATATATATATATATATATATTTATATATTGTTAGTAATAAAAAAAGGAAATACCATATAGAAAAAATGTAAATAAAGAAAAATGCTTCATATTCAGAACTTGTCGGCATTAGGTTATGCAATATGATATCTATCTATCTTTATATATATATATATATATATATATATATATATATATATATATATATATATATATATATATATATATATATATATATATATATATATATGGGGGCAGGCATTGTATTTGAGCGTGTAGCCGAGTAGTTAAAAGTAGTTTTACAACCATAAAACTCAGGTTCGAATCTCACTATGGTTGATTTGTCAGGGTGGGGTGACTACTTCATGCTATCGGTTTGAGGAGTGATCACAGCGGGCGGCAATTTTGGAAAGTACATGAAAACCACACCACCTGTTCATCCAAGACTTGTGATTGAAATTGGGTAGACTATCCTTGGCTGTGCTGGCACGAAGTCACAAATCATCATGACCGAGTTTTGAACAGTATAAATCACATGGGGGCTCGGTCGGTGTTGAGCAAACTCAAATGTCTCAGAGCAGGTGTCTGCGACAGGGACTGGCTAGCCACCCTAGCCCAGAAAATATGTAGTCGGTATGATGTGTGTATATCAAGCAATTCAGTAAATTATATGTGACAAATGTGACAGAATATATCTCTTCAATGCAGGCCTCGTTAGCCACAAGAAGAGCCATATAAGTTAATATACGGGGTGTCTTTTGTTTTTTTATTCTTTTTGTTCCTTTACTGATACACTATATTTGAAAATAATTTTATATATATATATATATATATATATATATAGAGAGAGAGAGAGAGAGAGAGAGAGAGACAGAGAGAGAGAGAGAAAAAGAAAGAAAAGGAATAAGTAACTGGAAGCAAAGAGGCTTAGAGAGAAATCGAAAAGATTCTGGAAGATTGAATGTAAGAGAAATGGTGAATCAAAACATTAAATAAAATGTAAAAAACGTAAGATGAAGGAAAAATAACCAAAGAAAGTCTAAAAGAGAGATCAAGAAGAAAAAAATTCGCAAAAAGAGTTAAAAAAAAAAAAAAGCAAATAAAAAGCAAGTACGAATAAAACAACCTTCAAAAGTTAGTGAGGTCCAGTAAAAGTCAGGAAAAATGTAAAAAAGCAGACGACATTAAAACACAATAAGAATAGACAGGATAACGTCGAGGAGAAAAATGATGTCGTAACAGATTGCAAAGCAAACCTATCGTTTATATGTTTGTTGTGTAACTTTGCAGATGTAATAGCATATAAAATTAAATAAAAAAAAGCAACTGGTTAGAAAGGCAAAGAATAAAAACTGCTGAGAGGTACATATTTTGATTTCAAGGAAAAAATAAACATAGTTTTAAAGAAAGGGTTCCTATTCATAAGATTATAAATCATTTCGCATTTTGTCTCGAATCATAATATAAAAACTGAAACTTAGATCCTGAATTTTATAAATGTCCTGGGCAAGGAATATTTTTTATAATGTTGTGCTAAGCCATTCGTATTCTATGAATAATTTAGACAAGTATCCTCATCCTTGTTGTTTTTATCACTATATGTTGACTGATGTGTTTTTTGGTCTTCCTCAATGTCTTAAATTCCGATATAGGTAATTGTTTAGCAGTCTACGAATAATTTAGACTAGTATCCGCATTCTTGTTGTTTTTATCACAATATTTTGATAGATGTGATTTTTGGCCTCCCTCACCAATAAGTCATTATTATTACACACACACACACACACACACACACACACACACACACACATATATATATATATATATATATATATATATATATATATATATAAATGTTTTTTGAAAAAATATATAACCATTGGAACATCGGAATTCCCCTGTTTTAAAACTGAAACTTCAATTCAAATTCAATCATAAAAATTAAGCGTAAAATACAAAGCTCCGTTCCATTATCAAGCGATGCTAAGAATAACTTTTTAGAAATTTATTTACTTAATTTATAAGTCCAACCAAATTTTTTGAGGTATTGGGTTTAAGGAAAATTACATTTTTTTTTATTTTAGGAGTGTTAAGATTTAACTTATTTAGAAAACTCATGTATCTAACGTATTGTAGCTATCAAGTTGGTCAAGTCGAGGTGGGTGCTGGGATATCAGTCTATTGATACAAACTTCTTCATATATATATATATATATATATATATATATATATATATATATATATATATATATATATATTCATGTGAATATCTTCATCCTCATTTTGTTTTACATATGTTTCTGAATATTTTGCTCGATGAGAGAAAATCATTTTACCTTACAATAGAATGGCTGATGCTAACCTCCAAGAGAGTGAGTCATTGCGTCTTCCTGGGCTAACGCTTTCTGCCATGGAAATATTATATAGAATCAATTGCTAGATCACCTGCTAAGAAAGTTGGTTCTCTGTGTTGTGCTAGAGAATTTTTCTTGACAGAATCTATTTTAAATATTTATATGTCTGACATTCTTTCTTGCTTCCACATCCAGTTTAGTGCTCCCGCTATATATTTAGTGATTCTTGATAAAATTCAAATGTTATTGGTACTAACCTGGCATCTCGCCCTCATGCATTTCCCCACCGCCGTAATCTAGCTTTCCTCTGTCTTTTTGATAAATACATTCGTGGTAACTGTTCTGATGAACTTGATGTTACCTAGGCTTTATGAATCTAGTACTAGATTGGCGGTAAGGTCTCATCAGTTCATGCAGTTGTAATATCTAGATGTAACCGTAAGTTCTATGCTAAGATTTTCTTCTATCGCACTTTTCGGTTGTGGAACTCTCTTCCTGCGTCTTGCTTTCCAGCTAACTTTGATCTTCAAAAATTTAAATGCAATGTCAATCGTTATCTTCTATGTTCTTAATTCTTGTTCTTTCATTGTTCTCTCTCCTTAATAGTAGTTTTTCTCATATTCTCTAACACTCAGTAACCCCTTGCGTCTTAATAAATTTATTGTCTTGCTTAGGGTGAAATGATTTTAAAAAACGTGAAGAAGATCAAAATACCAGTCGGTCGAAACGTTATAAAAAAAAAAAAAACAACGAAGATAGTGATATAAGTCCAAATAACTCGAGGAATTAATCAGATGGGAATAAAATCCGAGAGAAAGCGGCTTTTATGTTTAATTGTTATTCAGCGTTAAATAAAATGCAATTTAATTTTTGATAATATTTTTATTTACTTTTTGAGAGGGGGAAATTGACATTGAATGCAGAAAGTGCATCACTACTGTTGTAGATTAAAATTTCCCGGCAATGCATCTAAATACATGCACCCCACTCTACGCAGTAAGACGTGTGCAGATCCAAATCAAGAGTCGGGTAGGTTGCTTTAATGTCACAGCACGATTTTTTTTTTTCATCGATTTTTGACTGAACATTAAGATTCCAGATGTTGGCGTCTCAGGTATTTATAATTTCGGGCTGAGGCTGGTTGGCCCAAGGCATTAGATGTTAAGCATGGGGCGGCTAGTGAGGATCGAACTCTTTTCAGCAGTGATGGTCTGAGAGACTAACTTTTTTTGTTATAGTTCTATTGATAAAATTTAATCAAAGATTGAATTTAATGAGAAAAGAAATAATAAAACGAAAAAAGTCGAAAATATTGTTTGTTTGTTTTTTGTTTTTGCTTTTTTTTAAAGTTTATTATATTCTAAGGACTTCTTTTCTCAGTTAGTTAGATAGATAGATAGATAGATAGATAGATAGATAGATAATGATAGATAGATAGATAGATAGATAATGAGATAGATAGATAGATAGATAGATAGATAGATAATGATAGATATAGATAGATAGATAGATAGATAGATAGATAGATAGATAATAATGAGCCGGCAAAGATAGATAGATAGATAGATAGATAGATAGATAGATAGATAGATAGATAGATAGATAGATAATGAGCCGGCAAAGATAGATAGATAGATAGATAGATAGATAGATAGATAGATAGATAGATAGATAATGAACAGGCATAGATAGATAGATAGATAGATAGATAGATAGATAGATA